GTTTGCCCGGGACGGCGCCGGGAGGCGAAGCGGAGCCGCGGAGCGTGGCCGTGCGAGGGGCGCGGAGCTGCCCCGGGGAGCGCCAGGAGCTGCCTCCCTGGGGCCGCGCACGCTGACGGGGAAGTTGTAAAGTGAGAACAATCAAAGCGCCCGGTTCTCTTGGGCTGACTTAGCGCCTTCGATTGCTCCATGCGCGGAGTGTGTAATTAGGTTTATTAATTTATTTTCTTTCCGACTCCGAGAGCTCAGTCTCTTTTTCAATATAGAAGATTATGATTCTTTCTCCCCTGGAAAGGCATTATGAGATCTGGTGGGAATATTTTGCTTTCTGTGTTTTGGAGAACACAAAACAGTATTTTGCTTTTTCATTAATGCCTAGTTAGTGTTCTAGGTGGGTTTATTTTTCATACTATTTTAACATACGCTGGTAAATTCACGCTGTTAAAATAGACTACGGAGATAATTTATGTGACGTAGGAGTAATGTCTTTAATTTTGTCTCATTTATTCCCTTTGTCTGTTGTCTCTAATTTATAAGCCCATCTGCAACTGCTGTTCTGAGTATCCCCTAAATAGCGGCAAATGAAGAACAATTGTAGGCTTACCAGGGCCCCGGGCACTGCCCACAGGCCCAGAGAATACGGATTCCATCAGATTCTGCGTCTCTGTGGTGTCAAACATAGACCTGCCCTTTGGGATGGGAAGAATTGCTCCATCTGGGACTGGGGAGATGAGCCCTGCTTGGGATGGTGGGGCATTGCAAGCAATTGCAGCAGTGACTGCCAGATCAGTGACTGCCAGATCAGGACCTTTTTGTTTTGGATTCAGCTGGTGGCTGTGCCCATGGGAGCATTTTGAAATGAACCTCCCAAACCCCCAGCCCTGACACACATGCACTTTGATTTGCATCCCAGTGTGTTTTCAAACAGTGCACATGTTTCTCTCACATCCCACCAAATTAGATGTACTGTGCAGCAGCGTTGGATCAAGGCTAATTGAGCAAATGTCCAAAATGTCAATGTAGATGTGATTTCTGGACATTGCATGTTTCCCTCTGCAGTTCCTCTCCTCTGTAGCTGTTGTTAGACAAAAGAGGGCCCTGCTTCATAGTCAGAGCATTGTGAAATCAGAAATTGCTTCACTAATTAAAGATGGGCATGTGTGAGTGTTTCCTAAAAGGAGGAGCTAAACTGAACATAGAAGTGATTTTTTGATGTTCTCCCATTTCCACTGGAAGCTTTGTCTCAGCACTGTATCTTACTATCTCTGGACAAGTCATACTTCTTTGTTAAAATGTTTGTCAGCCCTCTGTTCAAGGCCGAGTTTCTTTCTGAATCTTCTGCAATGCATGGAAAGATGTGTCTGTGGACGAGTGGAAAGCCCAGGCAGTCACTTGTGTGTTTGTGCACATGCACAAAGATTTGCAGCTCTCCCTCATGTTTTCTTTTTCTTGTCTGCTTCAATTCACCTCAGTGCTTAATTTTCTGCGCCTTGTCTGCTGCTTTAATCTCTTTGATCTTCTTGAGTTTCCTTGCCAGGACTGTGCCATGGAATCTGTATCCTCTGTTCAGTCACCTGCTTTCTAGAGTAAGAAACCATTGGTGAGTACTTTTGTATCATAAACCATATTCATAATGGCTTACTGCACATGTAGGTAAGGAATTGGATGGAAAATCCACAAAGAATTTATAGTACCTATATATCACTTTGACTAGTGCCTAAAATTATGATGCTTAAAACTTCTTCATGCTTAACTTCTAAGCCTCAAAGCAGCTATACTCTGCAGGTAAATGGGTGGCAGGGTGGCTGGTGGCAGTGCATGCTACCTCAGTGACTGTACTTTTGGAGAGAGAATTGGCCTCTTGTACAGTGTTGGAAGAAAAAAAAAAAATTGAGGACTTTAGTGCTTATCTGCTAAAGATAATGCAGGCTTTAGATATCAAGTGGAGGCAGGAAGGGTTGTGCAGTTCTAAGGAGTTGGGAGCCCTAACTGCAGCAGGGCAGAATTGAAGGCACACCTCTGTTGCTCTGAAAACTCAGCTTCTAAGCTTGCTGACATGGTTTTCTAAAGACTTTCCCAGGACAGTAACTGTAAACATAGATATGTGTACATTCTTTCAGTTACACGTCTTGTGATGGGCATCTCTCATGGCCAGTGCAGTGAGAAAGTGTTATCCTGACCATCCAATCCCTGGCCTTGGTCAGAAACCCATAAATCCTAGGAAGAAAAATAAACTCTCTCTTCCTTTTACCACACCTCGACCTGTGTCTGTGTGATCTATTCATCTCCAGCGGCAACAACCTCCGACCTTGCTGTTGGCGGGTTCTCAGTTAGGTGAGTCCTTGCTCAGCGTGCTGGCATTTGTTACCCAAGTCTGAGGTACTGAGCTTTGTGCACATGTTGCAGAGGGAACACGTGGATGCCACAGAGACAGCAGTGCTTGCACACATACTGGAGTCAACAGGGAAGCCCACACTGTTAAATACTATACCTCCCTGGGGTCACTCCCGGTTTCCAGTCTTGTTCAGATTGCAGAAGTATTTATTCTTTGTAAATTCTGTTTTGGAGAGAAAGCTCTACCCCAGTCAAAACAGTTTTTCTTCTGGAGTGGGTTCATTCCAGCAGCTCCCTTACTGCACCCCCACAACGACTGCAAGGAAGCAAAGGTGAATCTACATGAGGTTTGTCTTGCTCATATCTACAGGAGCCCTCCAACATTTCCACAGCTGAATTTCACATCCATATGCTCTCAATCTATTGCTGAATGCAGCAACACATATCTACAGGTTCCTGACATAAAAATACCATTCTGGTGGGTCTCAGTATGGCTTGTATGATACTTGATATGCCTGAAACTTAGCCCCTTTTAAGGCAAAAAATGCCTGCCATGCTGGAGGGCTCTCTGGGAAGCCAAAGCTGCTTGGCCATATAGTCCATTGATATATGCATTGATGAGGGGACTGCAGCTCTTGGCTTAGAGACTGTGGGACATCTGTGGAGCAAGAAACTTCTATTAATCTGTGTAGCTGCTATGATCCAGGGGCCTTTGTAGTGCTAGTTGTGATTGCTTTAAACTTAAAGCTAACTTTGAGAATTAGGTGTATTTTATTGTCCCAATGGTATGCCATGTTCCTCCAATTGCAACCATACACGTATTTTATGTCCAGAGATTGAAAAGGTGATGTGGATTTAAAATCACAGTCCTTACTTGGATATGAAATGCTGTGATCACATTCTTATTAAAAGATAGCCAGGATGAGAAAAAAAAATCTTGCTATGTGTTTATTTTTTTTTTCTTAGCAGTGCTTCTGAGTAAGACAAGGTTTAGTGTTGTATTCTGTAAGCACATTCTGTTTCACAGGTATTCAGCCAGCTGATGGCTATGACACCCTTGAATTATTTAATAGCTTCCATTTCTTTTTTTTTAGTAGAGTTTTATGAGGACTGAGATAAACTATGCTCCATTTGGCGTGTAAGCACTCTACATCATCGACCTAGTGAACCAGAATGCTCAAACACTGTGGTGGAATTAGGGGCACTGGAGAAATAAACCACTTCCTAGTGAAGTCCATGGAAGTTCTTCCATGGAGTTCTGTAGAAATAAATCATGCCCTTAATTGAGGGAAGTTGACTTGGGAGTCACTCAGTGGATGGTGTCTTTCCATGACAGCCATAGCTATGTCCTCCAAGGATATTTGGATTCAGAATTGTAACATTGCTTTTGTGACCTCTTTGTCCTCCAGTGGAAGCTGCAATCCTGAGTCAGGCACCAAGGTCCTGTAAAGCCAGGAATTCCACCTAAAATGAGATTCATCAAACCTGGCATGCCAGCGGTAGCTGGTGGGGAATGGGACAGAGAGTTAGTGTCCTGACAGCTGTTGGAATATGGTGCTTCCTTTCACTTGTGTCACACTAATACTCTCCCAAGGTTAAGTGCTTTAATGAGGTTGGATTTTCTCACACACAAGAAGAAATGGTGCCACGTCAGTTAATAAAAAACATTAATATTTAAGATTGCTTCCTTGGGGTATGAAAGACCAAGGTTGAAGTCTCTTATCTCACTGAAGGAATTTGAACTGATATCTCCCAGGAGGGTACTGAAAGCCACCAGACTGTAAGCTCTTTTTGAGCAAGTCTTGCTTTCTCTGTCCCACTGAAGCTGTTCAGCTTTGTATGGGCTCATTAAATACCCATTCAATCTGTCTGAAAGAAAAGAAAAGAATGACAACATCTCTTAAATCAGATGCAGGAAGGTGATGAGAGTGCTTTGAGGTCCTCTCTAATGAATATTCAGATGTCTTACAATGATGCAGTATCTTCATCAGCAGCCATTCAGACAGA